GATATTTAGCTGTTCCCTATTTCAATGCCTTCGAGTAGAGCTATTATCATAGCAATAAAATTAATACAAGCGAAACCTACAAAGTCTCCCTTTTTCAACACGTTTAACAAGTTTCAAAACGTGGAAAATATTGTTCATGACCGAGAGGCTTTGCAATAGCACAAAATTTACAAATCTGTGGGGCAGCAGCAAGCTATACCAATCCCACAAGCCAAGAATATTGAATTATAGGTAATATAAAAGAATTAAACTCTGTCTTGCTATCATTGCTCTAATTTCTTATCGGCACTCATTTAAGTCTTTCAATAGTATGAGAATTCAAATCAATTCCTCCCACCCAACAAAACAGAAGAAGAATCCCCCACGAATATTTAAGTATGAGAATTCAAATCAATTCCTCCCACCCAACAAAACAGAAGAAGAATCCCCCACGAATATTTAGTTTTTTATCAAACCCAACACACATCATGTGAAAGACAAATGACAGAGGTAAAAATTAGAAGGATGTCTATCTGCAGAATACCTGATGTAGGTGTCCTCACATTCGTCGTGCTTCCTTCAGATACTGAGGAGTTTTTCCATGTCTGTCTATCCAATGGACTACCCTCTTCTGATGCATATGAGGATTCATACTTGAACTCAGGCCGCTCGTTCCTACTTACTCCATCTGAAATCGAATTTAGGGAAACTTCCTCACCAACAACACGCCCAGGATGATCCCATCTAAAGCTCCAACTCGGCGAGTGACGAACATTCCTAGGCTGCGTTTCACTACTAGATCCAACGCCAATAGTCTTGTCTCTAGCAGCAACGCAACAGACTGATCCCATATTTCAAAAGCCTGAAATGAGATTTTGTATTGTTTGTTACAAATCACTTGCGCTATCCAATCTNATCGTGGGTCGGACTCAGATTTTGAATCCTGAACATATTACTAGACAATCACGTCATTTCATAACACGATATCTGTTCCAACCCTTTAAACCAAACATATAAAGCACTCCATATTGAATGAGTTATTCAACACGGGTTTGTGTTAATCTCAATCATTTAATTATCGATCTTCCCTTCAACAACATTCCTCGTCATCTTTCCATAAACTACAACCTTCTTAGCGACCCACCCACAAAAAAAAAAAAAAAAAAAAAAAAAAAACCCCTAAATACATAGCATGCACACCGCTTGGAAGAAACCCTTCAGAAATTAAACACGAAAACAAAATCACCGAACACAGAAAGAAGCATCGATTCAAATTGTTCGGGTTACAGAGCAGATAAAGCAGTAAAACCTCAAAACAACAACAAGAGGAGACACTCAAATTAACACAACACCTCAAAAGAAAGAGGAATCAATCAGATTCCCCAAACAACGAAACCGATCACCAGCATGCGTTCAAATCAAATACCAACACCATAAGAAGGAAAGTTAAACCAAAAGCGATCGACGAATACCTTAAACGGCCCAATCCTGAGAGAGAGATACGAATCGCTGCAAGGATGGAGGTGGAGGTGATTGCCGTTGAAGAGAAACTGAACCGAAAGCCGTTTTCTGGACGAATTTGAGTGGAAATTGAACACTGTTTTTGGGGGTTAGGGCTAAGAAGCTGAGGAGACGAGGTCAGAGCTTGGGGATTTCAATGGCGGGTGAATACGACGAGATGTGAATATGATGATGAAAAAAATGCGATTATTTCAACTTTCAACTTTCAACTTTTTTTTGTACTCTTGGCGATGCTAACAATTATTATTTTTTACAATAATTTTTTGTTTAAAATTTATATCATTTTCGCACAAAATTATTATTATTATTATTATTATTATTATTATTATTTGAAAATCAAAATTATTAATTAAGGTTAAACCTTCTTCCTTTATATTATTATTAAGAGCGTTAATATGACTCGAGAATCCGATCAACCATAAAAATTAGGTTGGGTTAGATTTTATTTTCGGCTTGGATTTATATTATTATTAAGAGTGTTCATATAACTCGAACACCTAACCAAGACCATAAAAATTACGTTGGGTTAGGTTTTATTTTCAGTTTGGATTTATATTATTATTAAAAGTGTTCATATAACTCAGAGTCTGACCAACCTAAACTATCCAACCCAAACCATAAAAATCGAGTTCGGTTAAATTTTATTTTCGGTTTGGATTGGGTTGAATTTTTAGAAAACCGAAAATTTGAGTTGGTTCGCGATTCGACAATTTTTTTTTATCACGTCAACTGGAATATACACGAAACCAACCATACAGAGCATTTAAGACTATTGAGAAGATTAAGAAAAATTGACATTTGCAATAAATTTTAATTATTAATGTAACATGTACAATGAACATGTATGATTTTTTAAAATAATTAAAAAAAACAACTCGACATTCCAATGAGATCCAACGTGATTGTATCGCACACGATTGAACATGCATGTACGAACGACGTGTGTAGTCGAATAAGCTTGAATTCTGCACAAGTTGTGTTCAGTTGATGAAGGCAAATCTCATCGACGATCCGACGAAGCTACAAAGTCGGGCAAAAAAAGAATATGGAACTTAAGTTCTTCTTAGAACTTGTCGTGAGCGTGTCAAAATAACGATGACACAGGTTGAAAATATACGATCGTGACAGTTGGGTTAATTAATTTTAAAAATGTAAATATACTAAAAATATATTAAACTCATGATTAAAAAATAATAATAATAATAATAATAATAAATAAATAAATAATAATAATAATAATAAATAAATAATAATAATAATAACATAATGAAATTATATTTTCCATCTAATATTTTATTACTTGTCATAATTTTTAAAAATTTTATTTTAAATTAAGGAACTCTTAATTATAGATACGGAGTAGTACGAGAAATTAACGGTTTAAATTTTACTCGAATTCTCATTTATTTGCAACAGTTGAGTTCTCGATAAAAAAAATGAAAGAAAATTATTTTAAAAAATATTTTACGATTTATCTTCGAAGGATTTAAAATTTTAAACATATATATTACAAAAACAATACTCACTCGAAGGTTAGGGTTAAAATGACGGATCTCGATTTTATTCGAGATGGCTGTGCCGCTCGATAAAAGCAACCCTAATATTAATATGAAGCTATATATATATATATATATAATTAAATAAATAATTAAAAAAAATTTGCTAGCCTAAAAAATTTAGATGGGATGGTGGGTCGAGTTGATGAGAAAGGAAAGCAAAACGACAAGGTTGGTGGTCGTTTTGAGTTTTAGTACCCAACACGAAATTATTGTCTTCTTTTAAGAGAGAGAGAGTCAAAGTCAAAAAGGTTGGAGACATTAGTTAGGTTAGTTTTCCTTTTAACTCATCAAATCCTAAACCCTTTGAATTCTTTTCTTATATTATTTTTCTATGGGAAATTAATTTTATTTAATAAATTATGAAAGTAGTGTCGTTTCCGAATGAATCGAGCAGGATAAAACAATCTGTTTGATTTACACGTGTTTCAATAATAAAATTGTAGGTTTGTGATGAAGTGACCTGCAAAACCGAACAAGGTGCAAGCTGGTATGGTGATTGTTACTTGTTTGAGTTTGAAATAATGGAGAAGAAGAGTTTAGAATGAGAACGGGTAGCTCTCTAAACCGAGACTTACTTAGGTTTTGACTATTGGACGAGTTGGTCAAGAATGAGAACGGGTAGCTCTCTAAACCGAGACTTACTTAGGTTTTGACTATTGGACGAGTTGGTCAACCAACAAATCTAGTTGACCCAATTTCTCTTGAGTATGTTTTAATAACACAGTTTGACCAGTTCTGTAGCTCTAAGAGAGATATTTTAGATACAATTCATAGCAAATTAAAATCATACTAACTTTCATAAACATTAAGTTCAACGTCCCTAATTTTCTTGCGCTAAATTAGTGACATTACTACATGAATGCCTTAAATCTTCATTGAAATTTGAGATTCTCGTGATATAATCTCTCGATTTCCTTCTCCGACAACACTCTCAATTTCCCTCTCGACTATGTGTATATATTTCAAAAGGAAGGAACGTCGGTGACGGTAGACATGAGAGTGCAGAAACTTTAAGAGGGTGGTGGGACGGTTACCTTCATGATATTAACTGCTAGCAAGAAATCGCGAGATTTCCAACTACGGTTTGAATGTATTTAATTTATTTTCCAAACCGTTGCAATCTTTGTTATTAATTTTCATGTTACATTAAATCAATCTTAAAATACAAGTCAAACGTATAAAATAATAATCAATATGTAGAAAATCCCGAATTTTACACTTAATAGATAAGACATCAGTCATGTATAAAATAATAATCAATATGTAGAAAATCCCGAATTTTACACTTAATAGATAAGACATCAGTCATCCCAACAACAGTAGATAGTTCGATTCCCACGCTGATAACTTTTAAACTAAAAACAGTTTATATTACCTAAAACAAGAACGAATAGTTCGATTCCCACGCTGATAACTTTTAAACTAAAAACAGTTTATATTACCTAAAACAAGAACGACTAAACAAATTGATTAAGATATTCATCAACAGTCGTGTATTTAACATTAGGATACAACGACGTAGCAGCAAATGATTCGATTCCCACCCATATAATTCTCAAACTAAAAACAGTTTATATTACCCGAAACAAGAACGACTAAACAAATTGATTAAGATATTCATCAACAGTCGTGTATTTAACATTAGGATACAACGACGTAGCAGCAAATGATTCGATTCCCACACATATAATTCTCAAACTAAAAACACTTTATATTACCTGAAACAAGAACGACTAAAATAAGATATTCATCAACTGTCATGTATTTAACATCAAGATACAACAACGTAGCAGCAAATGATTTGATTCCCACACTGATAATTCTCAAACTAAAAACCATTTATATTACTTGAAACAAGAACGATTAAACAAATTGATTAAGATATTCATCAACGGTCGTGTATTTAACATCAGGATACAACGACGTAGCTTCCAATCCAACCGACGCTTCAATTTCACGATTGGTATGATCTCCCTTAACGAATATCGAGTACTCAAAAGCTAGCATCAAATTCAATGGATATGCAGCCTCTACACAATGAAATTAAGTTTAAAAACTAAAATTAGGCCTTTAAATTCGAATTTTTTCTTCACTAACCTTGAATGTTCTTCAATAATTGGTGCTCTGAAACGAAGGTTTTGTGAAGAATTATTCCAATTTTGTTTTCCCAGAGGGCCACAAGTTGATTGATTGACAAGACGTTTTCAGAGGGTTTGATGTAGAGAATTTTGTTCAAAGTTCTTGGATCATCCACTGCTTTAATGGTGAAAGAAGCAATGTCTTCTTCGGTGTTGAAAATTGCTGAAACCAAACAAAAACTCATTATTTTAGATGCAGACATTTACCTGAAAATCGGTGTTGAAAATTGCTGAAACCAAACAAAAACTCATTATTTTAGATGCAGACATTTACCTGAAAACCCACTTGGACGTTGTGCTAATGGACAAAAAGAAAGCAATTCTAAAGGGAAACTCTTACTATATATATATATATATATATACCAATCAACTCGTCTCGCCTTTCTACTATTAGAATTGACATCAATGGTGGAAGGATTCAAACTCTCGACCTTTTGATCTAGGTATAACAGTCTAAATCCATCGCTAACAACTATTTGTCCGTTGCGTATTGTCATCAACCTCGTTGTTTTAAAACGGGTCTATTAGGAAAGTTTCTACACTCAATGTTTCGATTTGGGCAATCCACTCCTTGGGGTCCAATGTTCGGTGTCTGTCTTTAATACCATTTGTAACAGTCGAAACTCATCGCTAATAGATATTGTCTGCTTTGACCCGTTACGTATTATTGTCAGCCTCACAATTTTAAAACGTGTTTATTAAGGAGAGATTTACGTAGGTTAAACTATCGCTTTTTGAAATGATAATTAGTATCTAAATGGTAGAGTTATGGAAAAATTCATTCAACTTAAGCTTACCAAAACTAATCCATAATTCAATCTAAAAAAAAAAAAAAAAAGTTCAATTGCAAGATGAGCCCCAAATTCTTGATTTTTTGTGTTTTTATGTCTTTAATATCTAAAAAAAATATATAATAGATTTCTAAATTATGAGATCCCACGTAGGTTGGACAAAACATTCTTATACGGGATGAAACCCTCTCCCTAACATAGACGTTTTAAAATCGTAAGGCTGACAACGATATATAACAGGCCAAAACAGACAAAATCTATTCTATTTGTATTGGACTTGGGCTATTACAAATGATATCAGAGCTAGACACTAGGCGGGTGTGCTAGTGAGAACGTTGGGTTCCCAAGAGGTGGATTGTGAGATCCTACATCGATAACAAACCATTTCTTATAAGGGTGTGAAAACCTCTCCCAAACCGTTTTAAAATCGTGAGCCTGCGCGATATGTATAAGGCCAAAGCAAACAATATCTGCTAACGATGAGCTTAATGACAATGGTACACGCAAGCTAACCCAAGTAATCATGGATATAAACAAAGAAAAGGTCTATGAACTTTACAAGTATTTTAATAGGAGCTCAACGTTTCGTCGAATGGACCTATTTCATCTACCGACCTAAACAATAATAATCGATATTTTATCTACGGACCTATTCGTGGAATGGACCGACCTCCTATTAATACATAAAA